CTTTTCATTAACAGCATTCGGCCTTTTATTTCGGGAAGAATTATTGAAACTTTTCGATCGCAATCTCTCCTTTGAAAATGTTGCTCCGGTATTTCCTTTCACATTTATTTCCCTATTTTCCTTTTACGGAAAGAAACTCTTTTGAGTATTGTTAAATTCCGTTTTCCGCGGAGGCTCGAATTTTTGCCCTAAAAACTTTTTATTACTACGGGGAAAACTTGTCTCCTATATCGCTTATATTGTTATCGCTCGCTCGATCGCAATTTTTAAAGACGTAACATTTTCTAACTGTAATGTCCGCTTAATGAATCCATCAGATATTGCTGCGATAAATTATGCGCATGAAATTTTGTCACGAATTTCCGCCGTACAGGAGAATTTAATTAAGACTAATTAAATTATCTGTTCGCCCGCGCTATCATCTCAAATTGGCTAATAAAGTCGCGCAACGGAACTGTTCCGTCGTAAGTATCCAGCTTTAATTTCATTCCGGTAAAAGCAATATTTCTGGAGTGACTTACAAGTAACACTACCCAACTGTCATTCACCAATCGGAATGAAACTCTTCTCTCTTATAAAGCATTGAAATATGTTGAAAATTCATTTTTTTATTTTTCCTCGAAACGCTTTTTAACCTCTTGACTGTCGGAGGCAAATTGTATCTTGTGAGTCAAAAATGACAGAAAGTAACTCTGATGGTCATAAAACTCGGTACTCTAAGGTTTTTTGGGTCGCTAAATCCGAATATGTCAAAATTTTAACATTCAACATGGCGGATCCAATATGGCGGACACCAATTTAAAAATATCAACATATTGGGTCTGGGAAAAAGTTCGTAGCGTTCTTTTAGTAAAATTCAACTGGTTTTCTTATAGTGTGAAAATTAATTTATTTAAACCAAATATGCTCTATTATTATCGACAATGTTTCGCCATTTTTCGGGTAGAGCCATGATGCCATCGGTGAAGAACTTCTGTGGTTTCTGGTTGAAAAGCTGAATCAAGTAGTTTTCACAGGCTTCTTTTGAAACCAGCTTAATTCCATTGAGAGAATTCTGCAGAGATCGGAACAAGTGATAGTCAGAGGGTACTATGTCTGGACTATATGGTGGATGCATCAAAACTTCCCAACCAAGCTCTCGCAATTTTTGACAGGTCATCAAAGAAGTGTGTGATCGGGCGTTGTCATGATGGAAGACAGCACCTTTCCTATTATTCAATTCGGGCCGTTTTCTTTCAATTGCCTGGCGTAATCTCTCTAGTTGTCCATAGTAGAGTTGAGAATCGATCGTCTGACCAACTGGAAGTAGCTCATGGTGGACGATTCCCTTCCAGTCCCATCACACACACAGCATTACCTTTTTCGGCGTCAATCCTGGCTTCGCGAACGCTTGTGACGGCTCACCATCCCTTGTCCACGATCTTTGACGCTTCCGATTGTCGTACGTGATCCATTTTTCATCACCGGTTACGACACGTTTCAGAAATGGCTTGATTTCATTGCGTTTCAGCAGCGTATCGCAGATGTTAATTCGGCCTATCATGTTGTTCGCGCTCAACTCATGAGGAACTCATATATCGAGCTTCTTTTTGTAGCCAGCTTTGTGTAAATGGTGCAAAACAGTTTTGTGGTCAATGCCTAGCTCCATACCAATATCGACACTGTTGATATGCTTATCTTGCTGGACTTTTTCAAGAATTTCAACAGCTTTTTCAGTGATTGGACGACCAGAGCGTGACTCATCTTTCACATCAAAATTACCAGAACGGAAGCAAGCGAACCATTTCCGCGCAGCAGATTTTGCTAAAGTACCTTCACCGTACACAGCACAAATTTTTTCACAAGCCTGCGCAGCGTTCTTCCCTTTGACGTAATAATATTGCAAAATATAGCGCAATTTTTCATTACTTTTCTCCATTTTCAAACGCAAACAACTTTCCAACCACTGCACCAATTTCGATGTTTATACACTCAAAGTAACGCTCGAAGTGTCACCTTTCCAACGAGTGTTTAGTGGTATCGCTGCGATCTGTGTTTCCTGAGTTATTTGCAATTGACGCCATCTATCGGGAAAAACGCCACGAACTTTTTCCCAGACCCAATATTTTCATAAAACTCGTATCCTAAGGTTTTTTAGGTCGCTGAATCGAAATATGATATCAAAATTCCAAAATTAAGAATTTTATAAAAATATGTTGATTTTTTAAATTTGTGTCAGCCACGTTAGATCCGCCATTTTCAATTTTGAAATTTTAATATATTCGAATTCAGCAATCCAAAAGACCTTAGAATATCGAGTTTTATGACCATCAGAGTTACTTTGTGTCAACGCATTTTTGACCTATAAGGTATAATTTGCTTCCGACAGTTAAGAGGTTTAAAAGCGCTTTCAGGAAAAATAAAAAACAGATTTTCAATATTTTTCAATGCTTTATAAGACTGCAAAATTTCATTCCGATTGGTGAATGACAGTTGGATAGTGTTACTTGTTAGCTGTATTGGCTCTCCACCTGCGGCCAGCTGATTCCGAAGCTCCTGCAGTTCCTGTCGCTCTCGTTCCCTGTCCGCTCGGACTTGCCGCAGCTTCTCCATGAATTTCCATCGTGACCGCTTCCGCGCCCAAAGAACACGCCGCTCCGGTCTCCATTATTGCCGTTTCAAGATGCTGCCGCTTTCTTGTTACTTACTGGGCCATTCATCATCTCACAACACTTAAAATCGTTCACACAAATCTCAGGATAGTTCTGTTCCGGACAAGCCCACAAAAATATCGCGCACAGGCGGGATAAATTCCGCTGCGCGGGAAGAAATAATTACACGCTAGGTTGGAGAACGAAAAACTTTATGTACAGCATAACTTTACAGCTACGAACCCTCTTGCGCGTAAATTGTAAAGACAAGGCTACACGCTGTACGTCAGCCCGTGTCGACAGCTCGTGCTCGACACACACATTTCTTCTGTTACGCCCTGCAGACTCCGCGCACTCTAGACTTCTTTTATAAATAAGGAAAATTGAATTTATTATTACTTATTATATGGCCGGATATGCTCAGGCATGTTATCACATGACGCGATCTCTGGAAGTTTTGATGCTCCGGAAATATTAACAATCTTGAACCAACTCCGATCTTGTTTCCCACGCGCTTAGTCAAGGATAACAGTATCGCATCCTTCTTAGAAATATCGATATTTCCTTCTTAAGATTGTTATCACGTTTTTTTTAACAAAAAGACTCTCTAAATCCTCTTATTGCCACATGCATCCTATCTCCTATAAAATTATCTTAAAGACACTGCGATATATTCTTAACCCCCACCTTTAAAAAGCATTCGAAGCACAGTCCTATGACCATATTTGGGCATAAAAATTAGATTTCCGAAATATTTCCCTAAAACCCCACTCTGTCAACCGAGCTGACGTTTTGAGAAAAGCCAAAAAGCCAAGACACTTCTCGACCGACCCGCAGCCAGAACAAAAGCTTCTCTTCAGCACCCCTTCAATCCTCCTAACAATCTAGCCTACTAGTGGCGTAGACAGATTAATGTTTCGCCAGTTGTTAATTATTCTGTGCAACGATCTTGTACACCATCGTGCACAATCATCGTGATCATTTTGGACCATCGTGAGCAATCCAGCAGAAACCAGCTTCCTATTCTTGGCGCAAAACTTGGGTCATCCACCTTCACCGACACGCAGTAATTACATTCTTTATTTTCGACAAATAGCACAGAACCAGCAGTAAGTTATTTATTCTTTCTTTTGCCTGAGTGACCCCTTTCTTTTCATTTATCTTCTTTTCTTCTCTCTGTTTTCTTTTCCTTTCCTTTTTCTTCCTTTTTTCTATCCCCCTTGGCATTCCTCCTTAATTGTGAAATCCGGTGTCAGTGGCCCAATCTTGTCGATCTCAATTGGACATAACGAACACGGAATTTTGTTCAAACCGCGATTATTTATATATATATGTATACACATTATAAAATTTTACAAATTTTATTTCATTGTGAACTTCCGCCTAATCATCAATAAAATAAGTTATTTGTAATGGTAAGCCAATCACGTTTTCCAACTAATTGTTCACAATAAAAATTCTCCCTTCCCTCAACTGTCGCTCACGGTCCTATCCCAGGTAAAAGGATTCAGTTCCTTGACCTAAATAAAGGACCACCGACGTACGTCCGCGCCAGATAAAGGGGTCATTCCGATTCTTGATCTGCACCGCAGACTTACAAGTATGTCGGAGCTTGCGAAAGCAAGCGTCAAGTTGCGTTCCTCATCCAGGACGTAACACTTCTGTTTTGTTGTTTCTTTTCTCATTGCTCAGCTGATTACTTTTCATGTTTCAATCAATACTACCGTCCAAGCTCGCGAACAGCTGACATTGCCACATGTACAGTGGCTCGGATGCAATATATATAAATAAAAAAGAATATACAGGGTGTTAAATTTCAAACGTAACAGGTAAAAAATCTTGAAAACTATGAAAGATATTAAAAAAAGTTAAAACACGTGTTTCATGATTTCGAAAGGGAAAGAGAATGGTATTATCATTTTTTTATTTGGAAGGCATTTTCAAGGTCAGTTGAAGGTCAACTTAATTTTTTAAAATAGGAAGCTCAATTTTTTATTATGTCTCCTTTTTCTACCAATTAATTTTAACAACTTTTGTCTGAAATATTTTTTTATTTGCTTAATATTTTTTGAAACATTTAAGGAAAACTTGGTAACTTTTTCGACATTTAACTTACGATATCTCGCTAACTATTCGTAGAAAGAAAAAATAATATTAGACTTTTTTACTTTATTTACTATCAAGAATATATTACTATAATAGTTCCCTAACTTTTGTTCATTTAATAATTTTAAAATTTCCAAAGGTCGATAAGTTAACAAAAGTTAAGGCATATACAACCTGTTATGTTTGAAATTTAATACCCTATATACAATATTCATATTATATATTAATGTTTATATATAAACAATAACATATTTATAAATTCAGATATGTAGATATAGTGGAAGCTACTTTCGCGACAAGTATTTTAGTTGATATTGGATTTGGATTTATGTTTCATACTTCTACATGTATAATGGTAAATATAGTAAATATATATTCTATAACTTAATGTCAAACACAGATACTTATATTTTTCTTCCTTTCTTTTTTCTCTTGATTTTGCTTTCTATCTTTCTGAAAAAATTTTTTATTCGACAAGTTTTGCCAACCAACTTTTGAAAGTACATGTTATCTTCTACAGATTGTGATTCGAAAGGGTCGGTTAACTGAACTTGCGCAATTCGTATCATTGTTGATATTACAGAGCTTCAGATTCTTTTTAATCAGTTGGACTGGACAAGAAGTGATCGATCACAGCTCTATCATTCCGATAGCGACGTAAGATAAAATGAAAAACTATAAAAACATTCGTATTAGAAATCCTAAAAACTTTTATTTTGTAGTTATAATGCAATGTGGTATCAGATGCCTATAGAAATACAAAAGAATCTAATGTTACTAATTGTGAGAAGTCAGAAATTTTCCCAATTAACAATTGCGAAATTTTACGTTATTAATCTGGAAAATTTCAGCGCGGTAATGACACAAAAATATCAGTTTATCGATGGTGCCATCGACTGAATCTAGAAACTCGAATATTAGAGAACTTGATATTGTAACAATATACAATGTATTTAATTTTTTAAGGTAATGAAGACATCAGTGACATATTGTACGGTAATGACTTCGATACGTTAGGCCCAAAGTGTAATTTTGAACAAGGAATCTCTCAATAATTCTTCTCTCACTAGTTCGTTGTCTGCTTTTTAAAAACTTGAGTGATTAATATAATTATTCACTATGTTTATTATATCGTATGCTTATTAATAAATATGCTTATATATAAATCAATATTTTCATGTATTTAATATATTGTTAACAAATAAATTATATATAAATACGCTATTGTAGGAAGTAACAGATTTCATTTATTTTATGTTATTGTAAAATCTTTCTTATGCTTTCTTTTATTTGTATCTCCTGCGCGCTGAAGCGTCTCATTCCGTCTTCCGTTTCTCACGTTTAGAAAAGTCGCTGCGATGGCGCTATAGTAGGAGTAGTTCGTTAGAAGACGAGAGACGTATAATAATGGCGTCGACCCGTCCTTTGCCGTTTTTATACTTCATACAATATTCAATAATTTTCCCTTTTCTTTCATCATCATTTTCTTACAAATTGGGAGCTCATCTACGGGATATGGTAAGAGCGAGATCTTTCCTTTTCTAAAAAAGCGAAAAGAGCAACATTGTGTGAAACGACTACGGTAACGACGATCTACGACGAGTGAATATGACGAATATGACGAATACAGCGAATAGGGCGAATACGATGAATACGACGAATAGCGATAATCAACGACGTTGTGGATAGAACGAGAAGTTGGTTGTACTTTGGACGACGACTACGATGAGGTACGACGAAGTACGACGAAATCGCAAATTGCAAATTGATCCGTAGTACGACGAAAGACGTTACTCTTGAATAATGAAATCGCTAAGACAAATTCAGATAGTTGCCCACAGAATAGGAACATCGTCGCGTCCGTATATGGGCTCTATCGACTTGTGTTCGAAAAAGACCATGAAAGAAGGACGGCGCACTAGGTGGCGACGGGACGCCGTGCGTTCGAGACCTGTATCTTATTTCGTTCCGAAGAGAGAAAAATATCGGGAGTGCTTCGATTTTAATGATACGTCAGAGGAATTTCGAACAAAACTGAAATACTCTGCTGCGTCTTCAGCTGGTGATTTGATATCCATGTGAAATATTCTAGGCCTGGATTACACTGGCACTAAAGAAGAGTTGCGACAGAGAATTATACAGGCATGGACATCAAATCGCTAATGCCACATGATGACAATATCGAAACTGAAGAAGAGACGGAAGAATGAAAGAGTCGAAGGGACCAATAGAGTCAAAGGAGTCACGATATCAGCGACAAAAAAAGATTAAACAAATTAAGGGAATCTTGGAGCGGCGACTGAACCCCGACGGGGTTGTCCCCGTTACGACCGTGTCAGCGACAACGACCGGTCGCCGCACGGCCGAAGACCGCCGCAACCTTCCCCGTACCGCACCGTCCATCAGTGCAGTGGCATTAAGACGTTAGACGCCGAAATACAAGCAATCGATCGTCCGCTCGGGAAAAATCGGGAACGGGGTACGAAAAGGGGTAATCCCAAAATTCGCATGCGCGAATTTCGCAGAATTAGGAGATAACCCCCTTCCGAGTTGCGCGTAACTCCCGATCGCGAAATTAAAGGGTATATAACCCATTCTCTCGACGAGATCGAGAGCAGAGCGGCGCCGTCTCGTAGTAAGACAGTCTTCAGAGCAAAGCTCCACGGCTAGCAGAGGCACCAGACCAGAAGACCGAGTAGGACCGAGAAGATCAGTGGAGCGAACCGCGAGTCCGGAAAGCACGGCCAAACGCCGGTGAATAATCCTCCAAATACCGTACCGCATCACCGGGAGAATATTACAAGACCCGGCAGCACTCGCTAAACAGACGCCCAGCGTTCCACCGATTCGATCAGCGATTTCTAAGTACTCGTCCGTCTGCGCTAAGCAGCAGTTAGCAGCCACGCAGAATTAGAATAAGTTTCTGTTGCGAGAGTCGGTAGCAGTTAGCCACCGTCTCCGCGATTTCTAAGTGCTCGTCCGTCGACGTTAGGCAGCAGTTAGCCGCCCGCCGAATAGAATAAGTATCTGTTGCGAGAAGTCGGCAGCATTTAGCCACCGTCTCCGCGATTTCTAAGTACTCGTCCATCGACGTTAGATAGCAGTTAGCCGCCCCGCCGAATAGAATAAGTTTCTGTTACGAGAAGCCGGCAGCATTTAGCCACCGTCTCCGCGATTTCTAAGTGCTCGTCCGTCGACGTTAGGCAGCAGTTAGCCGCTACGTCGAATAGAATAAGTTTCTGTTGCGAGAATCGGCAGCAATTAGCCACCGTCCCCGCAGATTTCTAAGTGCTCGTCCGTCGACGTTAGGCAGCAGTTAGCCGCCACGTCGAATAAAATAAGTTTCTGTTGCGAGAATCGGCAGCAATTAGCCACTGTTTCCGCAGATTTTTAAGTGCTCGTCCATCGGCATCGACCGCAGTTAGCCGCCACGCAGGAATCGCATAATTTCGGGTGACATAGGCGGCACAAATACATGTAAGCTACTGTGCGGAATTCCAAAGTACCAACTCAGCGTTCATTAACGTTGTAATTAGACTAGTGTTCCGTACGACCATATCGCGACGCGTATATTTACTCGCCGAGAAACGCCAGTCGCGAATCCCTGGCAACATTTATACCATCCGTATCATAGCGAAATCATAGGTCGTGAATCGATAGAAATATTTATAATATTCGCCGGGTTACCGTTACGAGCACCGATCGCGAATCACTGGCGATGTTTATCCCGTGTACATGAACCGTAGCAATAGCACCGTCTCGTGAGTCATTCGCGATATTTATTGTGTTCCCCGAATATTGTAAAAGTACCGATCACAAGTCCCTAACGACATTTTTCATATTTATTCGTACCGTATTGATACTACCGGTCGCGAGTCGCTCGCGACGTTTCTCATATTCCGGAGATTATTGTTAAAAGTCATATTTACCGAGACGTTATTGGTATCATCAGTCGCGAGCCTAGTGCGACACTTATCAGAGTCACCTGACTCCTATCCAAGTTGCCAGACGAGAGCCGTTACAACGTGGAAAAGTCGACTAGGTATTGTTACGAATACCGGACACGAATCATTATAAATCCTAACCGTCGGGAACGCAATTTGTGCGACGCACCTCCGATTAACGTTGTGACTGGCCTATTGGCAACATTTTATGATACTCATCTCAGAGCGATAACAGACGATAGCAGGTCTTTTCTTTTCTTTCCATTATTCTGGTTACCAGGAACTGCGTGCATCTCATTGTTCCCACCGGTGAAGCGCGGCCGACCCTCGTCAATCGGTGACAGATCTCGAGCACGTTGCCGGTCGAAATCCGTGGCCCGCGAGTTGTAAACATTTTCCTGTGCGAATTCGTATTCTACTCGCGAAATACAGCGAGGCTGCCAGAGTGAACCGTATCAGATAGCCGTTTATCGCCGATAACCAGTGTATAGCGAATAGAAGTGTACAAAGTAAAAACCGAATAAATCGGCAGTGAGGCCGAGTGAGAAACCAGCATCACGCTCCTCCTCAAGAGAAGAGTGAAATTAAGAGTTCCAATCAGTTAATCCTACCCAACAATCTCGCAGCGAACACCCGTTCGTCGGTCCGCGGCAAGAGAGCACGGCCGACAGCGGGAGGCCGATCAAGACGAACCGTACCGAGACCTCCGACTCGCGACTCGTCAACTTCGCGAGGATGGAGCGAGGAGAGACGAGCGAGAGGGCGGAGCGTTACATGGGATAGCGTCCTCATCTGAGCGGAACTAAAAATGTTGATAATATCGACATTTATCGATATTTATATATAGATACGTTCCGATATACAGGGTATTCGAAAAAAATGGGTCCCCCCTATTATCTCCAGAAGTACGCACTTTCACGGAAAATGACCCAAATAAAAGTTGTAGGGGTCATGAAATACTATCTTTTTGTAATCTTGAAATTGACCTTGAACTTGACTTTAAGGGTCATTTGAAAGTCAACTTGAAATTTTCAAATCGAAACTGCAATTTTTTATTACACAGTTTTTTTAACAATTAATTTGTACAACTTTTATGTAAAATATTTTTACATTTACCTAATATTTGTTGAAATATTTCAGGAAAACTTGATAACTTCAATATTTAATTTACGATATCTCGCTAACTATTTGTCAGAAGAAAAAGTGGCACTTATTTGATGTCAAGAATATATTGTTATAGTAGCACCTTAATTTTTGTTAATTTGATGATTTTGGAATTTTTAAAAGTCAAAAATATAATTTACAATACAATCGCTTACTCACTACTTATTATCAGCATCAGGATTCAAATGTATGTTACAATATACTTGGCATGCCTCTAATTTAGCGAAAAGTCGAAACATTTGTTATAATATTAATCAACAATGTTTTCCAAGCAATGTCCATGATCAAAAGTGCATTTGTGAACAGCACAATTGTTTTATTACATGTACGTAGTGCAAAAAGATATTTATGTTTTCAATGTTTTTATACAGCTTTTGATGCTCAATATTGCAGCAATATGATAAAATTTTATAACGTTTAGGTTTTGCAAAACGCTTCTATCTTATGAAATGTATACAATTTTGTAATATGCAAGAAAAATATATTCCATTTTAAGAACTGAAAATTATATTTCTATTTTATATTTTATGTTAAAAAGCTTAAAACTTCCTTTTATTGTTCACGTGGGAAAAATCCCTATGGATAATCCGCACCCCTTTGGGAAGGGGTGGGAGTTATAGTGGACCCTTACCGGCTAAAACCCTCCCGGGATGCCTGCCAGGTGAGCCGAAGTGGGGAAGCGGGGAACTGCACCAGCATTCCTCCCCAGCACTCCAGCCCTGAGGCTCGGTGACGTCCAAATGCCGCGTTCCCCCCGCATTGCGCGAGAAAGAGGAGAGTGGCGTTCCAACCAGGCAGGCTTAGTTGGCCTTCTGGTCACTTGCCGTGAAGAAAAGACCACACTATTCGTATGCGGAAGTGTGAGCACCCGGCATCTCGTTTTACACTTTATCGTGCTACTTTCAGTACAGCGACGAGATCGAGGGGCACCTCAGACACCTCGAGGCGATGTTTCATTCTCTGAAAGGGCAGATATTAATAGTAGGCATGGATGCCAACGCGAGATGCCATG